GAGTGTTCCCTCTGAACAGAGCTCTGTGTTGTTTACTAACACAGAGCTCTGGGCTGTGATTGGACATAGCTGATCAGCAGGTCCCGGCCATGAATCATTGGTTGGGACTCGCTGACATACAATCACAGCAGGAGTAGGCAGGCGGGTGCACGCAGCAGCGCACCCTGGAAACAGCCAGCTACATACAGGTACATGGTTTTGCCTACAGTGGCCACCCGTCTGCAGTACATTGCAGGTGGGTGGTCCGCAAGTGGTTAAGGAGATTGTACAATCAGTTTGTAACATGTGAGGGTACTTTAACCCCTTCCCCTCCAGAAGATTTACCCCTCTTCCTGACCAGGCCATTTTTTGCGTTACGGCGCTGCGTTACTTTAACTGACAATTGCGCGGTCATGCATCTCTGCACCCAGATGAAATTTACAAACTTTTTTTCCCACTAATTGAGCTTTCTTTTGGTGGTATTTGATCGGTTCTGCGTTTTTTATTATTTTGACCTATAAAAAAAAAAGACCGACAATTTTGAGAAAAAAAACAATATTTTTGATTTTTGCTATTAAACATGTCCAGTAAAGTAAACATTAAAAAAACAAAATTTCATCATAAATTTAGGCCAAAATGTATTCTGCTTCGTAATACATGTAAATGAATTGGTTTACGTAAAAGTTACAGCATTTACAAATGGCGGTATATATACTAGTAATGGGGGTGATCAGCGACTTATAGCGGGACTGCGGCGGATATTCTGACACTGGGGGGGAACTGGCTTGGTGTCACTGACATCCCCAATGACAACAATACAGTGATCAGTGCTAAAAAAACCCCCACTGACACTGTACTAATGGCAATGGGCAGGAAGGGGTTAACATGAGGGGCGATCAAAGGGTTAACTGTGTGCTGGGTGTGTTTTACTGGGGGGGCCATGTCAGTGTGCTTCACTGTAAGCACACTGCTTTGGATGGCTGTGCTCTGCAGTGTGCCCGAGCTCACAGGGAGAAGAACTGTTAGTAAACAAAACAGTCCTCCTCCCCGTCGGAGATCCTTGGTAACCACCGGGCGCTGGGGAGTAATCACGGCGCAGGTAGGGTGCACGCACGCCTCGCACATGCCCTAATGCTGGTAATGCAAAATCATGTATATATTAATGATTTTGTGCACCCGTGCCGCTTGATGTGGCCGGCCTGTTACACCCCGGTCACATCAAGCCCGACTTTGAAATCGTGCGACTTACAGTGAAGTCGCACGATTTCAAAGTCGGGGGACATGCCGATTTCAGGGGCGATTTACAAGAGATCTGACACAGATGTCTATACAAATCGCACCAAAAGTAGTGCATGTGCTACTTTAGAAATCGGGTGCAGCTCTGACCGAGTCGGAACAGCACTGATCTGACCGCTGTAATTGTGGACAATAGAGTGCGGCTTGGCATGCAAATTGCATGGAAAGTCGCACCTGATGCAGGGGCGGACTGACAACTCATGGGGCCCCCGGGCAATAGGGGATCATGGGGCCCCTGTGTCCTTGCCCAAACTCAAAAAAGCCTATGAAAAAGGTACCAGGGGCATCTCATGGGGCCCCTACTGACCCCGGGCCCTCGGGCAGTGCCAGAGTTTCCAAATGATCAGTCCGCCCCTGACCCGATGTGACCGGGGTCTTCAGTTATGAGACAGAGATTGTTAAATGTCAAAACAAATGTCAGTTTCTCCAAAGAATTTGGAGCCGTTTGCAGCCTCCAATGGTCAGCCAGATGTGAGATCAGTTCCCGGCACAGCCTGCTCCTTCTCCTAGGATCACACATCAGTGGGCAGGTTTGATTGACGCCATATTCCCAGCAGATCTTATCGGTGATTTGTCTGCCACACATTGCCCCGGGCTATCTACACTGCACTCCTACAATGGTGTCCAAATGATACACATCTCATGTCTATGGCCAACCCTGAGGAAGTGTACGCTGATACTGATGGCCTCCTCCTCTGTCATGCTGGTCCACCGGCTTCACTGCTTTGTAATGAATAAATAAATACTTAAACAGCAACAGAAGAATAGAGAGAATACTTTAAGCGGGACTGAAGCACTCCGGAATACCCTCCACCCACCCCAATTCCATACCGCCACTCCATACATACCCCCACTCCATACCCCACTCCATACCTCCACTCCATACCGCCAATCCATACCGCCACTCCATACCGCCACTCTATACCCTCCACTCCATACCGCCACTCCATACCGCCACTCCATACCGCCACTCCATACCGCCACTCCATACCGCCACTCTATACCCTCCACTCCATACCTCCACTCCATACCGCCACTCCATACCCTCACTCCATACCCCCACTCCATACCGCCACTCCATACCGCCACTCCATACCTCCACTCCATACCGCCACTCCATACCCCCACTACATACCCCCACTCCATACCCCCACTCCATACCCCCACTACATACCCCCACTCCATACCCCCACTCCATACCCCCACTCCATACCGCCACTCCATACCGCCACTCTATACCCTCCACTCCATACCTCCACTCCATACCGCCACTCCATACCGCCACTCCATACCGCCACTCCATACCCTCACTCCATACCGCCACTCCATACCCCCACTCCACACCGCCACTCCACACCGCCACCACACCGCCACTCCATACCGCCACTCCATACCGCCACTCTATACCCTCCACTCCATACCGCCACTCCTCACCGCCACTCCACACCCTCCACTCCATACCGCCAATCCATACCGCCACTCCATACCGCCAATCCATACCGCCACTCCATACCACCAATCCATACCGCCACTCCATACCGCCACTCCTCACCGCCACTCCACACCCTCCACTCCTCACCGCCACTCCACACCCTCCACTCCATACCGCCAGTCCAAGAGAAGTTTGAACAAATGAAAAATCTTGAACAAAATTCTACCAGTGTACTGTATGTCCAGCTTTGGACTGCTGGAGTGTGGGGGTGTGGAAGATGCAGGATTGGGTCTAGCTGGGTAAGTAAATCTTCTTTTATTATTCCCCTAGACCAGTGGTCTGCAATGGGTAGTCCTCGGGCCGTATGTGGCCCTTTGCCTTTATCTGGGTACTTTTCCTCCCACTGACACCAACGCTGGGGCACTGTTCCTCCCACTGACACTAACAATGGGGTGCTATTCCTCCCACTGACACCAATGATGGGGCACTATTCCTCCCACTGACACCAATGACGAGCACTATTCCTCCCACTGACACCAGTGATGGGGCACTATTTCTCCCACTGACACCAATGACGAGCACTATTCCTCCCACTGACACCAGTGATGGGGCACTATTCATTCTGCTTACACCAACAATGAGGCACTATTCCTCCCACTGACACCAATGATGGGCCACTATTCCTCCCACTGACACCAATGATGAGGCACTATTCTTCCCACTGACACCAACAATGGGGAACTATTCCTCCCACTGACACCAACAATGGGGAGCTATTCCACTGACACCAACAATGGGGAACTATTCCTCCCACTGACACCAACAATGGGGAGCTATTCCTCCCACTGACACCAACAATGGGGAACTATTCCTCCCACTGACACCAACAATGGGGAGCTATTCCTCCCACTGACACCAACAATGGGGAACTATTCCTCCCACTGACACCAACAACGGGGCAGTATTCTTCCCACTGCTGCTAATGATAGGGTACTATTCGTCCCACTGACACCAATGACATGGGGGAATTTTTTACCCCCACTCTCCACAGTCCGGCCCCCCTAAAATCTAAAGAACAGTAACCTGCCCCTTAGTTTGGGGAACCCTGCCCTGGACCAAAACAAGCAATTAACCCCTGCCACGCAGGCATAGCCCCACTGCAATGGATCAATTTTTTAGTTCCCCGGAGTTGGCCTTTAAAGCATACCTTACATAGTCTGTATATTATATTTGGACCCCCCCTCCCCCTTACAAAAATCACCTAATGTTAGCATTTCCAAAATATTACAAAATAAATTAAAATATATATATTTTTTTTTTAGTTAGACTTATTCTTACCTTCCCCCCATTTTCTACACGGCGGGTACATTCCAGAATGCCCAACATTGGGTGATTGTCAGAGGGGGAGGGGCCCTGCCAGTATAACTGGTCTTATTGTACTGCAAGTATTGACTATAGACACAGCCAGGCGGCCAGCATTTTCAGGGCCAGTCCATGCCACTCCTTCAGGACAGGTCCTCTTTAATACAATTTAAAGGAGAATTCCGGCTGTGACATTTTTTTCTCCCCAAAGCATTTTCTCAATGGATGCAAAGCGTTCTCTGATTGGATGAGTTGGAGAGCATGACATCACCGCTCCACCCGGTCCAATCAGAGAGCGATTTGCATTCGTTGAGGTGATGATCGCTGTCCAGGCAATGGATTCCCAGCTTCCAGAGGGATCCCACTGATATGGGATGTACAGTATATAGTTACATTGTTGCTGTCCAAGCAGTAACTAAATATAAAATGGAACCCCTGGAATTCCATCACCCCCCCCAGGTATATATTATTATAAATAAACTCCCCAGCAGAGGCTGGCAGGACATGCTGAGACTTGTAGTCCCACCCCCGCAACTCTCCCCCTCCTCCCACCACCCACAGCCAGGTAATCTCCCACCATGCACAGTCTGAGCTCAGGAGGGGCGGGGCTTTCGCTACAAAGACACCCATTCACCACACACCCCGCCCCCCGGACTGTGCCACACCCATGTTACTTGAAGCCGGCGCATAACCCCGCCCCCTAGGCTTAGCAGGCCCGCCCCTGTTCTTTGACCATCCTTCCGAGCTATTGGTTCACCTGCTCCCGGTCCCCGCCCCCAGCCCGTACTGAGCCATGGCGGAAGTGAGCAGACGTCAGCATGCCCGGGTTAAAGGAGCAGCCCCCCCGGGGTCCCCAGCACACAGGGATGAGGCTGTGGGGATGGAGGCCGAAACGATGAGTGTCTTCATCAAGCTGCTGGCGGCCGCCTTCTACGGCCTCAGCTCCTTCCTGCTCGTGGTGGTGAACAAGAGCGTGCTGAGCAACCGCAGGTAGGGAGCTCCGGGGGCAGAGTCCGCCATGGGAGAGTTCATTCACTCACTGCTGGATGCCAGAGGATGGAGGGATGCCAGTCCGAGATTGCAGCCTATGGGGGAGCATCTATTGGACACGGGCAGAGGGACTACAACTGCCAGCATTGCATTCTATGGGAGGAGGTCCTATGCTATGAGATACAGGGGACTACAACTCCCAGCATTGCATTCTATGGGAGGAGGTCCTATGCTATGAGATACAGGGGACTACAACTCCCAGCATTGCATTCTATGGGAGGAGGTCCTATGCTATGAGATACAGGGGACTACAACTGCCAGCATTGATCGCTATGGAAGGAGGTCCTATACTATGAGATACAGGGGACTACAACTGCCAGCATTGCATTCTATGGGAGGAGGTCCTATACTATGAGATACAGGGGACTACAACTCCCAGCATTGATCGCTATGGGAGGAGGTCCTATACTATGAGATACAGGGGACTACAACTGCCAGCATTGCATTCTATGGGAGGAGATCCTATACTACGAGATACAGGGGACTACAACTGCCAGCATTGCATTCTATGGGAGGAGATCCTATACTACGAGATACAGGGGACTACAACTGCCAGCATTGCATTCTATGGGAGATCATGTACCGAGAGTGCAACAGAGGACTACAACTCCCATCATTGTCCCCCGTACATGATCTCACATAGGTTGCAATGCTGGGAGTTGAAGTCCCCTGTTGCCCTGCATTAAATGATCTCCCATAGGTTGCAACAGGGGACTACAACTCCCAGCATTGCTCTTTATGGGAGAAGGTCCTATACTATGAGATACAGGGGACTACAACTCCCAGCATTGCATTCTATGGGAGATTGTGTAGTAGGGGGGTAACAGGGGAATACAACTCCCAGCATTGATCTCTATGTGAGGAGTTCCTATACTATGAGATACAGGGGACTACAACTCCAACATTGCCCCCAGTACACGATCTCCCATAGGTTGCAATGCTGGTAGTTGTAGTCCCCTGTTGCCCCCCAGTACATGATCTCCCATAGGTTGCAACAGGGGACTACAACTCCCAGCATTGCTCTCTATGGGAGGAGGTCCTGTATTATGAGAAATAGGGGACTACAACTCCCAGCATTGTATTCTATGCGAGATCGTGTACTGGAGGGCAACGGGAATAAAACTCCCATCAATGCTCTCTATGGGAGGAGGTCCTGTACTATGAAACTGGGGACTACAACTCCCAGCATTGCATGCTGTAGGAGATCATGTACTAGGGGTGCAACAGGGGTCTACAACTCCCAGCATTCCATTCTATGGGAGGAGGTCCTGTACTATGAGATACAGGGGACTGCAACTCCCAGCATTGCACTCTATGGGAAGAGATCATATACTATGAGGGATACGGGGGACTAAAACTCTCAGCATTGCATTCTATAGGAGATCTTTTAACTATGCATAGGAGATATTGTACGATGGTTTTGATGAGGGACTACAACTTCCAGCATAGCAATCTATAGGAGGAGGTCATATGCTATGTGTGCTACATAGGACTACAACTCCCAGTGGTGCAATCAATGGGATACTTTATACTATGGGTGCAACAGGGGACTACAACCCCCAACAATGCAATGTATGAGCGATACATGTACTACAACTCCCAGCATTGCAATCAAAGGAAGAACGTCATATACTACGAGTTTTACATGGGACTACAACTCCCAGCATTGTGCTATGAGGGATCATATACAGTGAGTGCTACATGGGACCAGGGGCGGACTGACCATTAGGAAACTCAGGTACTGCCCGAGGACCCGGGGTCAGTAGGGGGCCCCATGAGATGCCCCTGGTACCTTTTTCATAGGGTTTTTTGAGTTTGGGCAAGGACACAGGGGCCCCATGATCCCCTATTGCCCGGGGGCCCCGTGAGTTGTCAGTCCGCCCCTGCGTGGGACTATAAATCCCAGCATTGCAATCAATGGCAGACCTTATATTATGGGTGCAGCAGGGGACTGTAACTCCCAGCATTTCTGCCTGGGGGCTAAAACTCCAGAAGTACAATCTATGGTATTTCATTGACATGCTATGAGGAACTACAACTCCCAGCATTGCTGTTTAAAGGAGATCATGTAGTAGGGAGTGCTACAGGGGACTACAACTCTCAGCATTGCTATCTATGTGAGATAATTTACTGTGAGTGCTATGAGGGGCTATAAATCCCAGCAGTACAATCTATGGGATTTAATTTATAGTACATGCTACAAGGAACTACAACTCCCAGCATTGCAGACTAGGGGATTTAATTTCCAATTATTATTTCAATGCAGTACAAAAGCCATCAAAGATGTAGCAAGGGAAGACCTTTCCATCCCTTGGATAAATTTAGGCAGATATTGGTGTATAGGACCTATGGGATTTCATGTATAGTACATGCTACAAGGAACTACTACAACTCTCAGCATTGTCCTCTATGGGAGATCATATACAATGGGTCCAATACGGTACTACAACTTCCTGCATTACAATCTAGGGAGATCGTATACTATGGGTCCAATGAGGGACTACAACTTCCTGCATTGCAATCTATGGGAGATCGTATACTATGGGTCCAATGAGGGACTACAACTTCCTGCATTGCAATCTATGGGAGATCGTATACTATGGGTCCAATGAGGGACTACAACTTCCTGCATTGCAATCTATGGGAGATCGTATACTATGGGTCCAATGAGGGACTACAACTTCCTGCATTGCAATCTATGGGAGATCGTATACTATGGGTCCAATGAGGGACTACAACTTCCTGCATTGCAATCTATGGGAGATCATATACTATGGATCTATGTGGGACTACATCTCCCAGCATTGCCATCTATGGGAGATCGTATACTATCGGTCCTATGAGGGACCTCCAACTTCCAAAATTGTAGTGTATAGTCAGTATATACTGTGGGGGCTGTTGAGTGCTACAGAGGATTACAACTCTCAGCATTGCCATCTATGGGAGATCATATACTCTGGGTCCAATGAGGGACTACAACTTCCTGCATTGCCATCTACGGGAGATCATATACTATGGGTCCAGTGAGGGACTACAACTCCCAGAATTGTAGTGTATAGTCAGTGATATACTGTGGGGGCTGTTGAGTGCTACAGAGGACTACAACTCTCAGCATTGCAGTCTATGGGAGGTCAATCACTTGCCCTTGACATGCCTTGTATGGTAGTTCCTCTATGTTTAGGCATGCAGAGGAGGATGCAAGCCGCAGCATTGCACTCCCGCCTATGTCTTGCGTTCTGCAGGATCGGCCCCTCCCTTTTGAGACCTGTGGGATCGGCCCCTCCCTTTTGAGACCTGTGGGATCGGCCCCTCCCTTTTGAGACCTGGGGGATCGGCCCCTCCCTTTTGAGACCTGGGGGATCCTGCTGATGAGCTCTCAGCTGTTGTATCCTACAGGTCCTAGTACTGATAGCAGAAGAGAGATGGAGCTGAGGGGGACTACAAGTCCCAGCATTGAAATTGATGGCAGTACATCCACTTTGGCCCTAAGGTTTCAGCATTGCAATCACCTCCTAACATTGTTCATCTCTTGGGAAATCTGTCTTCAGCCATGAAGTCTATTACTCCTTCCCTGTATCTGCCCCCAGTTGATGATCCCTGATGAGGGGCGCTGGAAGGATCGGCTGCCTGCTATGAGCGTTTCCTTCTGCTCAGGACTTTACCTTTAAAAGTTGCATTATGTAAACTTGGAATCATTTTGTCTTTCTGCAGTCCTGAACATTTTGTATCATTTGCTGTTACTGACAAGTCTCACAATAATACTTAGGAATTTATTTATAGAAAAAAAAAAAAAAAAAAAAATAGTTGTATGAATGTCTGAGCTGATTACTGTTACTGTCGGCTCCATCCAGTGGCCATAATGTAGTATTTATCTGAAACATCTCAATCAGAAAAATACCGCATTATGCCTGCTAGAGGGCGCTGATGGACATAGGAAATACACCATATCAGGTCATTGGAATTATTCATAATGGCTCTGCCAGTGCTCAGGCATTCTTACAGGGAAAATAAAAAGGCCGTTAAAGGAGAAGTTCATCTTTGGGAGCAGGATATATGTTCTTCTGTTTTTAGGATTTTTTTTTTTTTCCTACCCCCCCCCCCCCTTTTCCTGTGACAGCAGTACAGGGAGAAGTTGGCGCGGCCATGTGGGGCTACACAGCGGAATCATTCATTTGCAGTCTTCTGTGATTGAATGAACTACAAGTCCTGACAGCCTTTGCGGCTGTAGAGTGTCATGGTAGTGTGTTGATTCTTCCTGTCAGTGTATCTGTTGCTCCTACATCTCGTACATCCCGTACAGGCAAGCAGATATACTGACAGATCTGCAGGAGACCTGCATGGCACTAGCGGTCCGCTGATCTCAGGTGCAATGCTTTCCAGGCTCCAGAAACCAAAAAAAAATAATAAATGTACTTTTTTTTTTTTTTTTTTTTTTTTTGCAAAAAAATTGTATTAATTAGGTTCGTGTCCTTTTTAACCCCTTGATTCCAAGTGAACACAAATATGCAGCCTCTCGTGTCTGGGCCTTGATGCTGAGCGGTCGCATATTTGTGTGCAATTAGAAAATATGTATGTATATGGGAGTGCACACTCCCAGCACATATGTCCGTGACACACGGAAAGGTCCCGATCTCCCCTTTCGATTGGGACCTTTTCCGATCATGCGACGGCGCATCACGGCGGTCACATGACCCTAAAACCCCTTCCGGCTTCTGAAACTCTTAAAGGGCCGGGAGGCGCCAGCACTAAGAGGTTGAAGTGGTTGTGAACCCTTCTATATACCCATGAAAGTGATTGGCCTCAGGTGATAGAGATGAAACATCCTCCTACATAAGCTGTACCGGTTTATCTGCTGTTTTCTCTTCTCTACAGCCATTCAAAGTGCTGAATTTTCAGTTCAGAAAGCAGGGAGCTGAGATTATACTCAGAGAGCTGATTGGAGGGAAGGGACCCCCCCCTATCTATTGGAGGTCCCTCCCCCGTCACCATTTTTCTCTCGGTGTCCGTAAATATTGTCGGAAGTGACTTGTGCTGATAGTAGACGAAGGAGGCAGCAGACAAATGACACTTAAGCTGGGTAAACTTTTTTTTTTTTTTTTTTTTGTGTGTGCAATCCAGCGAGCTGAACGAAAAAAAAACAAAAAACCCAAAGAGCTCTACTAAGGGTTCAATATAGGTACAGCGATCTCCCTGCTGAGCTATTGTGTTCTGACAGGGGAACTGAACCCGCCCCCCCCCCCCCCCTTTCCCAACCATAACACAACAGTCAGCACTCGCAGCCATTGGCTGGCAGCACTGATCGGATGCTGGATTTCCAGCACGGCTGTTCAATAGAAGCCGGTCATTCAGCCGGGTTCTGTCATACATGCAGGTGTACACACACAGGACGAATGTCAGCCGGTTTCTATCGAAGCAGGCAATATTCAGCTTGTGTATACGGGATTTTATTGCTATGGACTGAGACAAGTAAACACTATAGAGGGATGTGCTTTGTTCATATTTCATGTCTGAGGTTTACATCCACTTTAATATTTTTTTTTTTTTTCCTTTTTAGGTGGCACTGGATGTTTAACGCTGCTGTTAGGGGCGTCTTGCATTTTTATTTTTTTTTCTTTATTTTGCCATTAAACGCCCGTGTATGTTCGCCTATGTGTCCATGCACACACAGGTTTTTAGAGGGCGCAGCACCGCCAGCGCTTCCAGGAGCAGCAGCGTTTTGGCAGAAAAAAAAAAAATGCTTGACGCACCTTAACGCTAGGCGTGTTTAGTGCTTGAGCATTCATTTCAATGACCACAAATGAAATCGATTCATTCCTTGCCGTTGCATCAGACTCCATTCACATTAGCTAGTCTTCAAGTCGCACAATTTCCAGTGCGATTTTTGGAGATTGATTTTGGTATGACTTTGATCAGACATTACATTCTCTGGACCAAAGACTCATCAAAAGTCGCACCAAAGTAGTGCGGACATCTTTTTGAACATTGGTGCAACTTTGAGTTGCAGCAATTTGAACGGTTGCCTTTTAAAAATGATGGGCTGCGACTTTGATGGCCAAAGTTCAAAAGTGACTTTAAAGTGCATTTCCAGCCAAAACAGTTTCCTCTTCACATTAAGACGGGGGGGGGGGGGGGGGGGGGGCGGGGAAGGGTTAGAACCCCTGTTTGTTCCTGCTATTCGGGACTCCAAAAAAAAAAAAAAAAATTTTATATTTATTTATTTATATATATATATATATATATATATATATATATATATATATATATATATATATATATATATATATATATATATATATATATATATAAATTTTTTTTATTTCCCTTAAGAATTTTAGGCTTTTTTTTTTTTTTTTAAATGATTTGATAACTTTATTCTCTTTTTAGTGGTTGGTCTTCTACTGGTATTCCCCAATCAGGACGTGTTTCAGGGTTCCATGTGTTTTTTTTTTTTTTTTTTTTTTTTTTTATCTCTACCTTATGTGTTACAGACCGCCTGGGAATATTATTACAAGCTTCCCCTTGCTTGTATAGTGCCTGGGGGCATGTCTGCTAGCGGTCAGGGCCAGACGGGGGTAAGCAGTGATTTGTGTTCTAGCATAAAGTCTTTTTTTTTTTTTTTTTTTTTTTTTTTTTTTTTTTTTTCCCAATGAACTGCCAGCAACAGCTTATCTGCATCTAAAGGTGTGTTCATGCACCGTTTTCTGGTAGCACACTGTCGCGGTGCGTTGGGGTAATGCGGTCCGGTGGCCGCCATTGTGAATGGCGACTCATTGCACCTTGGGACTGATGTGCATTGCAGGGTCCTGCCAAAAAAGTGTGGTTATGTTTTGTGTGTTTTTTGTTTTACGTTTATCTATTCATATTACTTATTTTTTTTTTGTTTTCTTTTGTTTTACATTTATCTATTCATATTTCTTTTTTGTTTTCTTTTTTCTATTTGAGCAGCAAAACATGCGACAGAGTGTAAAATCTTGCATTGCCATTAATTTCTCAAAAAATGCGCAAATCTTGCCTTTTTTTTTTTTTTTTTTTTTCCAGATGAAAAAAGCTCCAGAACTTGTCTGAGCTTCAGGCATTTGGCTTCAGGATACTTGAAGCGGAGATGTGAACCATCTCCATTGAGAATAATTGTTTTTTTTTTTTTTCTCCTGTTTTTTTTTTTTCACTCAGGTGTGAACAGAGCCTAAAAATGCGTGAAAAACTGCGCTCCAAAGTCTCAGCAATCCTAGCTGGCAGATCTGAGGGCTGCTGTAGGCTTCTGTGGCCCCTAGAGGCCCGCCTGTGCTAGCGGTGGACATTTTGACTGCTAAATAGGCTCGTGAATGAGGAGGGAGTCGCTGAGTACCTCAGAGGTTGCTGACATAATTTTTTTTTTTTTTTTTTTTTTTTTTTGGACACCGGTACAATGTGATCTGTAAGCCCCCCTGTAAAAGATGATCCTGTAGTAGAGTGTGTATATCTCTAATAAAATTTAAAATTTTGTTCAGCTTTTTTTTTTTTTTTTTTTTTTTTTAGGAATTTTCATTTTATTTTTCTAATTATTAGCGGGGTCGAATTGATGTTTTTGTTTTCAACCGTAGTCATTAGAAAATTCAAAGGAGCCAAATTTCTTGAACATACAAATTTTCTAACTGTATTTTTTTATTTTTTTCTCGTTTTGGTAAAGTCCATTCATTCCAAAACTGATTGTTTAAATAAAGCAAATGAAATCTTGACGTACTCTCCCTTGCCCCAGGCGCTTCTCCTCACCCCGAATACCATCTGCCGCAGCCACTGTGTACATTCCTGACCCTGCGGACGCGCGGGCTCCTGTTTCAGTCCTAGTAATGGTCCAAGCTTTGTTCTTTTATTGGGAAGCGGATATGAGGGAGCGTCCTGACACGTGGGGTTACCTGAGCCCTCCTAGCAGACATGTCCCGCGCAGTGCCGATTTGCTCACACAGGGGAATAATGAGTCTCTGTTCTGTCTTGCAGGTTTCCCTCTTCGCTATGTGTTGGTCTTGGCCAGGTCAGTAAAGCGATCGCTCGGCTACGTGCGGCCCGGTGACCACGCTGCAACACACTGACTCCTCTTTGTGTCTTCTGCAGATGCTGGCGACTGTGGTCGTGCTCTGGGTGGGAAAGGCTCTGAGGGTGGTGAATTTTCCAGACTTCGACCTGCACATACCTCGAAAGGTGCGTATGGATAATAAAATGTTTGCCGTGAATGTTTACAGGGAGCCCGATGTGGAATGTGTGACGTAGTTCTGGAATCCATCAACAAGCATCTGTATGTGATGTGTCACACGGAAGAGTTCATCTTCACTTCCTGTCCCCGGAGACACAACAGGAAATGGGAGGAAAGTTTTCTGGATTGAGTTGACACTAAATCATTTCCCCACCCCCTTCTCTGGAATATATATTTCCGCTTCAGCTCCAGACTATTTCTGGCACTTTTTGTTTACAAAGTGGAATATTTTTTTTTTTTTTTTTGCTAGAAAAATCTCTCAGAACACCAAAGAGATGGATAGATACATACATACCCCTTTTTGGTGTTCTAAGTAATTTTCTAACAAAAAAAAAAATAGATATATATATATATATATATATATATATATATATATATATATATATATCACAGTTCATGAGACAATACATAAGGGGGTCAAGGGCCCTGCTCTTTCAAACTTACAATCTAGGATTGCTCTCAACTGCTGCTAAAAGTGGACGGCCGGCGGCCATTGCCTTCTTTTGATGATTCCTGGTATTCCCCATACACAGCTGCTTACTATATCATGATATTCTGCCCAGCGGATGCTAGCCTGATGACCCTCCCAGTGATCCAGCTTAAATAGACGGATGACCAGGAGTTGGTTAATACTCAAATGCGCATTTCTATTGCGCTTTCTGGTTAGTGCAATCTACACTCATTTCGGTGGGAGGAATATGGTCACGGAAGTCACCAATTTGTTCACCACTTCATTGTGATATTGTGCACTGTGTACCACAAGAACACTCTCATTGGAGATATTTATGTCATTGCAATTTATGAACATTTTGATGGGCCATTACTTAGCAGCGGTCGCCTTATCACTCTTCTTATAATGTATTATTTTCTACATGTATGATTGATTTTTAACAGCGCTGCATGTTCTGTTCATACTTGTCTTAAAAAAAATGCTCTTGGGTTCCATGCACATTAGCATTTTTTTTTTATAAGCTCAAAATAACAAACAAAAAAACAAAAATATATATATATATAATCTCTATTAGGCACATTCAGCATTTTTTTTCCTGCAAGTAAAATGTACCCAAAAACTGTACAAAAGCTATTGTTCTGCTCCTAAACACTGAGGCTTGAAAAAAAAACGCTTCTAGCATAAAGTAAAGTGCATGGACACATAGGAGAGCCTATTAGCTTCTAGGAACAAAAAAAATCTCTCTCCCTCTCCCTTGCTCAATTTGGTGTGTATTGCTACAGGTTTGTTGTTTTGTGTGGCCCTGTGCTGATCACATGCAATCAGCACTGTCCAGACAAAGGTCAGGGGCTCTGCATCCTCCTAGAGCAGAATGAAAACTCTTCCTACAAGCTTTAACCAGTGTTCTGCTGAACACTGATATGTCACAAGATTACTGATGAGAAAAGGTATTTAGCAGTTTTTAGATTTACTAAAATAATTGCATTTCCATGGTCTGTGTACTGTCGGAGACCAGATAGAGTGAGTGCGGGGTCCGGGGAGAGCGGATAGAGTGAGTGCGGGAGCCGGGGTTTAGTAACACTTTATTATGATATATACCATAGATGGTTTGAATCTCGTACAGTCCCTGCTGAACTGGCCGAGATTTGAACAGTCTTTTCCATCTTTTTGAAGTTTCATTACCTTGTTATGCGGGACTTTTGACAGTTCTTTTCTGATCCCCATGACTCAGTTATTACGTGGAAGCACTGACTAGGCTAGATACTAACAAACCCATTGACTATTTATACACTGACACTAATTGTAATTTAAAAAGCCACAGATGTGGGACATTAACCTCTAATTGGCATTTTAACCCGTGTGTGTCACCTTGTGTGTCTGTACCAAGGCCAAACGTTCCAGGGGAGGGAAACTTTTTTGATCCGGGCCATTTGGGTGATTTCTGTTTTAAAAGGAGCCAAACAACTGTGATTAATAAATGGCTTCATATGATCATCATCCTTCAATAAAGGGGAGCATTTTTGGTCATGATCAGTCATATTTTCAATGCCAAAATTTCACAATTTCTGCCAGGGTGTGCAAACTTGTGTGTTCTTCCTGTCGTGCCTACAGGGCAGACTGCTTGCTATGGGGACACCCGAGCGTCCATTCACGCAAAGAGCTGGGTTTTGGCCCTGCCCTTTACCTCTCCTGATTTTTTTTTTTTTTTTTTTTTTTTTTTTTAATGCGAGAAGGTAAAACCTCTCGATCCTTTACTCCCCAGCCTTAGTGGTTCTAAAGAGCTAGATGACGATGAGCTAGATAGAAAATAAGGCAGCCTCTGTCTGACTTGCTGCAGTTTCCAATGCACATTATGAAAGGTTCGCAGTGTGCAGCGATCTCTGAGTAATCCACACTCAGTACTACGTCTATGGTTCTATGTAGAAGTGACTGGTCGTGGCTTCCAAGGTCCTGACCGTACATCTACAGAGATTGGAGGGTGAAGAGACTCGGGCTGCCCGTAGTATTGTGTCCTCTGTGCGCAGCCCTGGTATCCCTCATGGGATTATTTACAGACTGGCTGAAAGAAGATGGAATTTATTTGTGGCCTTGTAAATTTAGAACAGGAGATCGAGTTACACGTTGTTTGTGAGGATCTGAGTAAGACTGCTGAAATTCTGTCTCGGCTGTGGTATGGGGGTGTGCTGTGTGCCACCTGGGCTATGGTATGGGGACGTGCTGCGTGGCGCCCGGCTATGGTATGGGGGCGTTATGTACCACCTGGGTTTATCAACCCTTCCGAAACCTGTCCAGCTAGAGAATAATTCAACTTGTGACCAGCAATACAATGTGCAGTGTGTGTGCAAATCTGTCACTTGGGGGGGGCGAAAAATTCCTCTTTGCTATTTCACTTTTCTTACAAGTTGATTACATTTCTGCTGAAGAACAATGTCCTGTGTTCTCACCCCGACATAGTGTTGGGGCTCGCTCACACTTGACTCCCAACGCTTGCAGAACACCCCTATAGCATTAGACAGGTGTTTGGGAGGCGTTTTTAACGCTCCCCAATCGCCCTATGCACATTTGTGAGGTGTTTCCAAGCATTAAAACTGCACCACAAATGCCTAGAATTAAGTTTAATAGTATTAATGCCTCGCAAACGTCTGCCAGGCATTTGAGGAGCGTCACCATAGAGGCGCAACTCCTCCTGACTCAACATGAGGCTTTTCTGCTCTCTATGGCTCAGTATCTAGGGTGCTCAGCATCTACATGAGGGCTAACAAACTCATTTGACTATACAAACATGCATAGACATTAATTGCAATTTTAAAAAGTCACAGATGTGGGAAATTGACCTTTTTTTAATTGCCATTTTTACCTTGTATGTCTGTACCAAGGTCAAACATTCCAGGGGATAAAAACCCTTTTTTTTTTTTTTTTTTTTTTTTTTTTTTTTTATATCTAGGGCCATTTTAGTAATTTTTCGTTGTGATTTTTTTTTTTTTAAAAAGGAGCCAAGCAACTATGTGATGATAAATGCTTCATATGATCACTATCCTTAAACAAAAGACAATTTGTTGGCATGATCAGTCATAGTTTCAATATCCGTGCCAAAATGTCTTGATTTCTGCCAGGGTGTGCAAACTTTTAAGTGTGTGTGTCATATACTGCCACAGGGTGGGGGATCCCAAGAGAATCTTCAATTACAAAACTATTACAGGCAGAATTGTTTGCATTGTGTTGCTGGGCTGTCATGTCGGCCTGCAGTAGTACACATTAAACCTTTTGTACAAGTTCTAAATTAAGTGAATGTCATCCACTTAATATATCGCCGTGTATTATTTGTCCAACCATTTTGTTTCTGTAAAAATTAAAGTGCGTGTGTGTGTGTGCGTGCTTACATTTTTAGATAGAACAGGGAAGGTGTGTTTTTTTTTTTTTTTTTTTTTTTTTTTTTTTTTTTTTTTTTTTTTTTTTTTTTTCTCCATCTGTCCCATTGTGGAGATTTCACTTACTGTCCCATAGCCAAATGGAAAGTGAAAGGAAATTCGATGAGGTGGGGGCCCCCAGGTCACCAGAACTAGTGTCCCCATTAGAAGATTTCCTTTCTATTACTTTTCCAGGGACAACTCAAAATTTCGGATTGTTAACTTTCAATGATGATGTTAAACGGGGAATCTCCCTAATGGGGGTACAGACAGCAATAAAAATCTGAGGTGTTCTAACCTCTCTCCACTCCATCCAAAACTAAAAAGTTTTTGCCTTTTTACTTATACGTTAACCACTCCATCAATCAACCTAGTTAATGGTATTTTTGTATTTTATTTCAGACTTTTCCACTACCTCTCCTGTATTTTGGGAATCAAATCACAGGACTGTTCAGCACAAAGAAGCTAAAGTAAGTTTTTATCGCCTCTCTCCACCCGAACCTAGAATGGCGCCTGCTTAACCTGTTCAGCTCTAGAGCAGGTGGTTTTTTTTTTTTTTTTTTTTTTCTTTTACACATTCTCTGGAAAAAATTACTGTTATATTTTCTGAAAGAAGTGGCCCTGCAGACTAAAAGAGTAATTTGCGCTATGTATGTATTATTATTATTATTATTATTACGATAGATATTCACACATACAGAGATCTGTATATCTCTATCTTGGGACTTATGTCCTTTTTCCATCTTTATAAAGTTCCATTACCTTGTTACGCAGGACTTTTGACAGTTCTTTTCTGATCCCCATGGCTCAGTATCTAGCCTAGTCAGTGCTTCCATGTAAGAGCTAACAAACTGACTATTTATACACTGACACTAATTGCAATTTAAAAAAGCCACAGATGTGGGACATTAACCTCTAATTGGCATTTTACCCCGTGTGTGTCACCTTGTGTGTCTGTACCAAGGCCAAACATTTCAGGGGAGGGAAACCTTTGATCCGGCCATTTGGGTGATTTCTGTTATTATGATTTAAAAAGGAGCCAAACAACTATTTGATAATAAATGGCTTCATGCCAAACAATGCTCCTTTTTTATTGAAGGATGATGATGATCAGTCAAATTTTCAATATCGATGCCAAAATTTCACAATTTCTGCCAGGGTGTGCAAACTTTGTGTATTTCTTTCTTTTTTTTCTAGTATTGATTATAACAAATGAAGAACAAAATAAATTAAAATATAGATGTTATGTGTGGGGTTTTTTTTTTTTTTTTGTAATTGATTACGATGAAGACATGGTATCCTGACATAATCCTGGCTGTGGGTTTCCAGAGTGATTACAGCATTTGTTGTACACATACGTAATGATTGATTAATATTTGAAGACCTAAGGGGCATATTTATAACGCAAAGAATGTCTTCGCTAAACATTCACTAAATGCTGTCTGGGGAGATTCAGCCCAATATTGTCACCTGCAAAGAAAGTGGGGGAGATATCCAAAAATGTTAAAGTTGTCCCCAGAGCAAGAGGGAAATCTTTCAATGGGGACAATTGTCTAAGACGGGTGTCGGCAACCCGCGGCTCTGGAGCCGCATGTGGCTCTTTTTCACCTTTCCTGCGGCTCCGGAGCACACTGCCCACCAGGTGACAGGCAATAGGGTCGGCAAGCCGCGGCTCTTTTAATGCAGATCTTCTGTATGCCGGGCGCCCGCTGGCAAACATTGGCTGTCAGGATGTAGGCGGGCAGCCCGGATGTAGGCGGGGGCAGCGTGACGAACTCCTCTCCTCTCACAGTCCGCCCTGAAGACCAGAACGGCGCGGGAACCCAGCGAGAGGAACGCGCGGAGCAAAGGTAAGTGAATTCACACAATATGGGGAATGAATTACTATGGGAGATGAATTACTATAGGGGGGATGAATTACTATAGGGGGGGATGAATTACTATAGGGGGGGATGAATTACTATAGGGGGGGATGAATTACTATAGGGGGGGATGAATTACTATAGGGGGGGATGAATTACTATAGGGGGGGATGAATTACTATAGGGGGGGATGAATTACTATAGGGGGGGATGAATTACTATAGGGGGGGATGAATTACTATGGGGGATGAATTACTATATGGGGGATGAATTACTATGGGGGATGAATTACTATATGGGGGATGAATTACTATATGGGGGATGTATTTTCAGTTTTAAAAATGTTTCTCTCAAAATAAATTTCAATCGTGGTTTTTGGCGAGATTTGGCTCAGTCGAAAAAAAAAGGTTGCCCACCACTGACCTAAGGCTATGATTGTGATTTATGACGATACACTGTGGCCCTGATTAACCCTTTGCTTACTGGGCCCCTTAAACCCCCTTCATGACCAGAGCGTTTTTTGCAATATATGCAGTGTCGGATTTGTTTTAAATGTTGCAATGGTTTTGCGGCTCCCAGTCTTTTTTTTCCCTCTCGGAAAACGGGTCCAAGTGGCTCTTTATGTCTTAAAGGTTGCAGACCCCTGGTCTAAGAGGTCAATTCTCACATTTCGGGAGATTTCCTCTAGCTTCCTGTTGAGTCTTTGGGACAGGAAGTGAAGGGAAGCTTCCACAATGGTACACGATCATCCAGAAATAACCTGGCAGGGGTTTTAACCCTTGCCTTAAAATATTAAAAATTGGGCAAAACAATTGCTATAATAAACGTTTTAATAATGGATTTAATTTTGCATATAATAATCCTGTGTCTGTTTGATTTTGCAGCCTCCCCATGTTCACAGTTCTCCGCCGTTTCTCAATTTTGTTTACAATGATGGCTGAGGGCTTTTTACTCAAGTAAGTATTATTTTACAGGGTTCATTTAATGTGTGGTTTTTTTTTTTTTTTTTTTTTTTTTTTTTTTCCCATTAAAATTTGTTTTGCGATCTTGTCATCTGACTAGGCTCCTGCTTTGCTGGATGCGGTTACAGACTCCACCTGTTTTAATCCTCGTGTAGGAATGAGCATTTCCGCATGCCTTTCTCTCTCGCCCGCGCGCTCTCTCTCGCCCGCCCTCCATTCACTTCAGTGGGCTGCCCTTTGCGCGTTTTGTCACCCACAATCATCTTCTGCTCCTTTTGTGGGTGGCAAGTTTAGTGAGATTTTCAAATGTGTTTTGCCGTGACTATTGCATGACAGTTGCTGCAAAATCGCACCATGTCTGGGATGCTATTAGGAATAATGGCACCCAAATGGTTATCATGCATTTTGCCACCATTTGGAATCACGGGCAGGATCCCTGTGATTCAGCAAGTCCCAGCTCACACTTAGCAATTTGGAATTGTTCACGTAGTGTTTGTAGCTGCTGTATTTTTGGGAGGCTTTACAGCTGCAGATCAGTTGGTTATAGTATGGAGGCCACCATTACTGACCTCTCCTGAAAAATGCCAGTTGCCTAGCTGGCATTCCGATTCAGTGTCTTCAGTGCTGTCTGAGATACTGGGGGAGATTTACTAAAACTGGAGCACTCAGAATCTGGTGCAGTTGTGCATGGGAGCCAATCAGCTTCTAACTTCAGCTTGTTCAATGAAGCTTTTCACAATAAAACCTGAATGCTGATTGGCTACCATGCACACTGGCACCAGATTCTGTAAACCAGCTTTAGTAAATTAACCCCACTGACTCGGAACAGATATGAAGATCCAAAACTGACTTTATTCTGAGTGCCCTGATCGGCGTGCTTGTTCTAGGTCAGTGCGTCATTAAAGCCAGAGGGTCGATATGGCAGCCAGGCAGCTAGCATTTTCAGAACACCGGCAATTACAGCATTACCTATCAAAGGTTACCTGTAAAGAGACTCTTTCACCACCATTAATTTTAATCCACAATCTTCCTGTCTGATTGTATGTGCAATTAATGTATGTAACCACTTGCCCTCCAGAGGATTTCTCAATACTTTCTCTTCTTCCTCCAGTGGAGGACAGGCATTCTAGGACTGGACAGTCCTCATGTAATGTGTGATCACTGCTCCTAGAATACTGTGAACTCAACCTGTGTGATGTGCCCCCTGGGGTGATGTGTAAACAACGGGCTGGCCTCACGGGAAATGGGCAGGACACGGGGGGTCCTGAGGAGGAGGGGTGTTGCTGGACTAAGATGGGAGTCTGGGACAGCACTGTAGTGGGGAGATGGTAGAAATTGGAATTAAAAAAATCCCTGGATTTCAGTTTTTTTTTTAAAGAACGGTCAATGATTTCTGCTTTTGGCTGCACATCTTTTCCTTCTCTAATATTCCACATTTATTGTATTTTGTTTCCTCTGTGTAGGAAGAAGTTTTCTCGCAGTATTCAGATGACAGTATTTGCTATGATGATAGGGGCATTTATCGCTGCCAGGTGAGTGCAAATGAAATATTAAAGAGTTTAAAAGTGTTACTAAACCCCAGACCCTGCATTCACTATATCTGTTCTCCCCGGACCCTGCATTCACTATATCTGGTCTCCCCGGACCCTGCATTCACTATATCTGGTCTCCCCGGACCCTGCATTCACTATCTGTTCTCCTCCCCGACCCTGCATTCACTATATCTGTTCTCCCCGGGCCCTGCATTCACTATATCTGTTCTCCCTGGGCCCTGCATTCACTATATCTGTTCTCCCCGGACCCTGCATTCACTATATCTGTTCTCCCCCGGCCCTGCATTCACTATATCTGTTTCTCCCCGGGCCTGCATTCACTATATCTGTTCTCCCCGGACCCTGCATTCACTATATCTGGTCTCCTGGACCCTGCATTCACTATATCTGTTCTCCCTGGACCCTGCATTCACTATATCTGTTCTCCCTGGACCCTGCATTCACTATATCTGTTCTCCCTGGACCCTGCATTCACTATATCTGTTCTCCCTGGACCCTGCATTCACTATATCTGTTCTCCCTGGACCCTGCATTCACTATATCTGTTCTCCCCGGGCCCCGCATTCACTATATCCGGTCTCCCCGGGCCCCCCCCCACGCATTCACTTATCCGGTCTCCCCCGGGCCCCGCATTCACTATATCCCAGGTCTCCCCGGGCCCCGCATTCACTATATCCGGTCTCCCCGGGCCCCGCATTCACTATATCCGGTCTCCCCGGGGGCCCCGCATTCACTATATCCGGTCTCCCCGGGCCCCGCATTCACTATATCCGGTTCCCCCGGGCCCCGCATTCATATATTCCGGTCTCCCCGGGCCCCGCATTCACTATATCCGTCTCCCCGGGCCCCGCATTCACTATATCCGGTCTCCCCGGGCTCCCGCATTCACTATATCCGGTCTCCCCGGGCCCCGCATTCACTATATCCGGTCTCCCCGGCCCCGCATTCACTATATCGGTCTCCCCGGGCCCCGCATTCACTATATCCGGTCTCCCCGGGCCCCGCATTCACTATATCCGGTCTCCCCGGGCCCCGCATTCACTATATCCGGTCTCCCCGGGCCCCGCATTCACTATATCCGGTCTCCCCGGGCCCCGCATTCACTATATCCGGTCTCCCCGGGCATTTTTATTTTGTTAGCAAAGACATGTAGCAGGATACATTTTGGCCTACATTTCTTTTTGTTTTGACAATTTTGGGGAAATACACACACACACATCACACTCTATCCATTTAGAAAAAAAAAAGTTGTGTGGGGTTTTTTTTTTTTTGTTTATAGCACAGAAAAAATGCATAGGCGATCAAATACCACCAAAAAAAGCTCTATTTGTGGGGGGAGGACATAAATTTATTGTATGTACAGCGTTGCATGACTGCACAATTGTCAGAGTAACACAGCGCCGTATCGCAAAAATGGCCTGGTCATGACTGGGAAATCCTCAGGAGGGCGAGGGGTTAATGTATAAGGAATCCATCTTGATATAGGTGTGAGAGCAGCTTTTGTCTTTATTTTCCAGTGCTGATCTGGCATTCGACCTTGAAGGGTACATATTCATTCTGGTTAATGATGTCCTAACGGCAGCCAATGGGGCTTATGTAAAGCAGAAGTTGGATTCCAAGGTGAGTAGTTTTACTAAAGTGTGTTCCCTGTAGTGTTCTATATAGGGGGTGAGCCATGTGGTCCTGCCACGTGGAAATGGGATGCAACAGTCTGGGGTCCTTTTTTGGGTTGTAACCAGAACAGGAACAGAGGTGAAATTCTTCCAGTAGGGACACTGGTTCTGGTGACAAGTGGGGGTTCCCTTTTTGTGGAAGGAATTACTTTTCACTTCCCTTTTTTTGGGAGATCTCCCCGATGGGACATGGCAAAAAAAATTAGAAATCTGACGGTTTATAACCTTCCCTTAGGCTGGCCATACATTATACAATTTTCTGTTCAGTTTCTGCCCAATTTCCTTTAGATTTACCTTCAACTATGTAGTGCAAGGGCCTGCCTAACCGTATAGTTGTTTAGGTTTGACCTCATATTATATGGTTTTTGGTAAATCTAAAGCAAAAATTGTATAGTGTATGGCCTCAGCCTTACTCTGTTCAAAGGCTTGAGATGAAAGTGATGCAGCAGCTCCATAGCTGCCAATCCCTTTCGCAGAGGCGGCCCCAGTGTGCCTCCCTCCTCCCGCAGTTCCTGGGATCTGTGCTATGACTGGAGCCAGGAACACATGCTGGCTAGGGGAGAGAGAGCGCTGTGAGACCGAGGCAAATCCATGCCTCGGATTGCATGCAAACAGTGAAAACGGAATTGATGTCACTGTCCAGTTTCAGATGCACCATTTCCTGGCCATTACAGCCAGGAGATGCATCTAACCAAGCCGGTCTGTACTTGGTTAGATGGTGTGAGGGGCAGGAGAGATGTTGGGGTCTATTAGACCCCTAGGGGTTTATTTACTAAAGCTGGAGAGTCCAAAATCAGACTCCCTTCTGCATAGAAACCAATCAGCTTCCAGGTTTCATTGCCAAAGCTTCATTGAACAAGCTGATTGGTTTCTATGCAGAAGGGAGTCTGATTTTGGACTCTCCAGCTTTAGTAAACCCCCTAATGTCTCCATAAAGAGTACTTGTCATCTGCCCAATGCTATCAAATAGGGTTTTATTAACCCACTGTGATGGCAAGTAAAAATTATAAATTGAAAAAATAGTTTTAAGAATTAAAATTATAATAAAGTTTACAAAAAAAATAAGTAAAAATAAATGCAGTAACCCCCATTGTCCCACACGTCTGCACAAATGCCAACTGGGGTGTGTATGAGTTTGTAAACCGCGGTCACACCACACATTTGACATCACTGCTCACATCAGAGTGAGAACAATAATTCTAGCACAAAGGCTGCTAGTTAACTCCAATCTGACGAACTGTGAACGCTTTGAAAACTTCACCCAATGGGTTTTTTTTTTTTTTTTGGGTGATATTGCAGGCACACGCAATTTTATGACATGGAATGTTTGGGATCTATTTACTCGCTGCAACTTTTTTTTTTTTTCTTTTTTTTTTAGATATTTTAACCTCCCAGACGGTATTCCCGAGTGTAGCTCGGGGTAAAGTTTCAGTACCAAAAGCAGTAACCCGAGCTACACTCGGGCTTACCATGCGGAGCTGCTCTGGCATCTGTTCTTCACTTACCTTGTCCTGTGCTCCCGTGATGTCCCTCCTGCGGTGTCCCCAGCAATGTAATCCGGCGGATGCCGGCATCTGTCATCTGGGTTCCGTCCCCTGCGAGCGTTGGGACGTACGGGGGACGGAACGGCGGGAAATTTGAAAATGAAAAAAAGTGACATTCACTAAATACACTAAAATCACGTAGTATAACATTCCTGTTTCAAACCATTTCACATACATTTTGTCCCGAGTGCTTTGTCCGGCGCCCTGCCTGCATTTTTACTGTTCTTTCTGCCTGGAAACTGAGAAACGTCCATGGCGTCCAAAAAGTGTCCCTTTAGGTCAAAAACAGTTTTAGACCGGCTAGAGAACAGCGATTAGTAAATCAGAACCACTTGCAGAATTGAGTGATAATGATTCGTGGGGGAAATTCATCATCAGACACTGAAAACGATTTTGTGACTTTGCTCAGCGATGTGCGAACTTGGCGCTATATTTCAAATTTCATTGTTTTTTTGGTTTGATTATATTAAATTTATTATATTATTTTTTATGATTATTTATTAAATTATAATTTATGATTTCGTGATTCCAATTTTATCATACCCAGGATGTTTACTAGACTCTTGTTCGGACAGATTTCAGTGAGTTATTCCTAAAAATTACATGCCTACAATAAAAAAAAAAAACAAAACATTTCCATGCAAAAAAATGTACCGCTTTGAGCACAGAAATATGGACATAATCAGATCGCTAGGGAGGTTAAACAAAAATGGGTATTCTATTGTGTTTTTTTACACTATAAAATTTATGTTTTCCTGAAATTTTGCATTTGATAAACAGTTGTGCAAATATGCGACATAAAAATTTGCAGCTATCACCTTTTTATTCTACAGGACTTCTGCTTTCAGCAGATAATGTTCTGGGGGTTTAAGTAATGTTTGCCAAAAATGTTTACATTTTTACATAATTTATTCTTGAACCGAACTGGTTAAGTGGGGTGAAGTTGAAACACATCTGTAGTATTAGGTTTGACTTGCCTACTCCATGGGGTTATCTGTTTATAAAGCGTGTCCCAATATTCGCATCTGCTGCATATCCTCCACCAAGGGGGACCTTTGGTTCGTGTGAACATAATAACCAGAGTCTGTTGAAGAAATGTTTTCTCTTTTTGCTGTCTTGAAGAAAACTCAAAAATGCTCAGTGACAGATGACAGGGAAAATATTACTGCTTCCAGGCAGCAGCATCCCTTATGACCAGGACGGTCTGTGCTACCACCATACTTTATGGTTTGGCACAAGTCATGGTTTGGCCATCTTGGTATTCTGCAGGCCCCATCATCACTTTGAAAGGTAGTCACTGCCTGCACTGCACCTCAGTCAGTTGTTTTGGACAACAAGGTTCAGGCTTGTTTTCCACCTCCCGGCTTCTCTGCGAGAACTGGAACAATTTTTGCATGAAGAGTGGTATCCGATTCCATTATCCATCATCCAAGACTTCTATTTGTCAATTCCAAGGAGAATTCAGGCCATCTTGGATGCCAAAGGTGGTCTAACGCCATGTTGGTTAAGGATTGCTTTCTTTTATTTGGTGTTTCCATCGTTTTTTTTTTGTCCAAACTTTATCGGAATGCCATAGCTGAGCAGGTCTGAATTTTTGGGGGGGGGAAGGTGCTGCCTGGAAGCGGTAAATATTTTCCTTGTGTCATCCATCACGGAGCATTTGAGTTAATGGACACATCCACATAGTTTTCAGTGTGTTATTTGCTCTGTAACAAATCAATTGTACAAATTTATATTTACATGTATTTACTTTTGTAATGGTGAAGCGTATAAATGTGTAAAATTTTTTTTTTTTTTTTTTTTTTTTCTCTTTCCAGGAACTTGGAAAGTATGGCTTGCTGTATTACAATGCATTGTTCATGATTGTCCCCACGTTGGCCATCGCTTATATAACTGGGGATGTCCAGAAGGTGAGACCATTGTCCATGAATCTTTTCTGCTGTCATCTTTTTTGTTGTTCTCTGATATCTTGTGGATATGCCTCCATAGCTTACAATACTACACTGCTCAAAAAAATTAAAGGAAGACTTTTTAATCAGATTATAGTATCAAGTCAGTCTTGGGATATTGATCTGGTCAGTTAAGTAGCAGAGGGGTTGGTTAATGAGTTAATGAGTGTTAATGAAATTAAACAGGTGCACTAGATGGGCAATAATGAGATGACCCCCAAAATTGGAATAGTTTTACAGGTGGAGGCCACTGACCCTTTCTCCCCCCCCCCCCCCCCACTCATCTTTTCTGACTGTTTTTTACTAGTTTTGCATTTGGCTTGGGTCAGTGTCACTACTGGTACCATGAGGCAATACCTGGGCCCTACAGAGGTTGCACAGGCATTCCAACTCCTCCAGGAGGGCACATCAATACATGACATTGCCAGAAGGGTTGCTGTTTCTCCCAGCACAGTCTCAAGAGCATGGAGGAGATTCCAGGAGATTCTGGGAGAGCGGGACAGGGCCGTAGAAAGTCCGTAACCCATCAGCAGACTGGTATCTGCTCCTTTGGCAGTGCTCATCCTGTTCCTCCTTGCACAGAGACCTACAAAATGACCTCCAGCAGGCCACTGGTGTGAATGTCTCTGACCAAACAATCAGAAACCGACTTAATAAGGTTGGTCTGAGGGCCCGGCGTCCTCTAGTGGGCCCTGTGCTCACTGCCCGGCACCATAGAGGTCGATTGGCATTTGCCATTGAACGCCAGAATTGGCAGGTCCACACTGGCACCCTGTGCTTTTCACAGATGAGAGCAGGTTTACCCTGAGCACATATGACAGACGTGAGAAGGTCTGGAGAAGCCGTGGAGAACATTATGCTGCCTGTAACATCATTCAGCATGACCGTTTTAGTGGTGGATCAGTGATGGCCTATCCATGGAGGGATGACAGACCTCTACAGGCTAGAAAACGGCACCCTAACTGCCATTAGGTATCGTGATGAAATCCTTGGACCCATTGTCAGACCGTACACTGGGACGTGTGTGTGCAGTGGGTCCTGGGTTCCTCCTGGTGCATGACAATGCCCAGCCTCATGTGGTGAGAGTATGCAGGCAGTTCTTGGAGGATGAAGGAATTAAATGGACCCCACGCTCACCTGACCTAAATCCAATAGAACACCTCTGGGATGTCATGTTTCAGTCCATCCGACGCTGGCAGTTTGCACCTCCAAGACTGTCCAGGAACTCAGTGATGCCCTGGTCCAGATCTGGGAGGAAATACCCCAGGACACCATATGTCATCTCATTATAAGCATGCCCCGACGTTGTCAGGCATGCATACAAGCACGTGGGGGCCATACAAACTACTGAGGACCATTCTGAGTTGCTGCAATGAAACTTTAGCAAAATGAACTTGCCTGCTGCATCATTTTTTTTCACTTTGATTTTCAGGGTGTCTTTGGAAAAGAAAATAATCAACCTACAGAGGACTGTATTCAAACGATGGGGCGTCCTTATGTTTCTAACACATTATCCAGTCCATGTCAGTATAAATATCCAGTAGGAAATTTTTTTTTTTTTTTTTTTTTTTCCCCCACATTGAGATCTGATTTTGTTTTTTCAAAGTGTTCCTTTTAACCTTTTTGAGCAGTGTATGTAAAGTAAACCATTAGATCAGAATGCAAGTCATTGTGCTGTCCGAGAAATGACATTACAAGGTGTGGGTAATGCTTGCATTGTGTGCAGTACTATATGGTAATGTCAGGTCATTGTACTATCATAAATATGACATTCAAGATTTATTTGTATCGTCAAAGGGCAATGAAGCACCATGGAAGGAATGTGCACACAATTTATTACTTCTCTTTTTTGGTTGCTCTTTGCCCATTAGTTTTCCCAAGAAGAGGAAGAAAACTGCAGCAGCACACAGGCAATAAAGAGAACCTGCCTGATAGAGATCTGAGAGGCAGCAGTGTTGGCTTGTCTCTGGAGATCCGTACTAAGGGGAGGCTATACTCAGTTTGTTAGGTGTGTTTACACTACAAAGAAAGATGTGAGCTAAAAGTAATTGCGCTTGTGCAGTTGGTCTAAGGCTCCATTCACACGTATGAGACTTTGGACATCAGTTGCATGACAAGTCTCATCCCTTTCTTTTCAATGGCACCAGTATAAGTCGGTGCCACTTAAAATGTGCCTGCACTACTTTGGTGTGTGTGGGTGTTTTTTTTTTTTTTTTTTTTTTTCCTCCCACTGCTGTTAATAGCCAGTCAGCCAATGAGGAGAGAGGGGGTGGGGCCAAGCCGCAGCTCCTTGTGTGAATGGACGTATGGAGTAGTGGTTGCCCTTATAGCAAGCTGCTTCCTTTTGGAAGCACCTGACAGGAGGAGCCAGGAAAGCCTGCGGAGGATCAGGGCTGCTCTGTGCATGACCACTGCACAGAGCAGGTAAGTATAGACATGTTTTGTTATTTTAGAAAAAAAAAAATGTAAATCGTTAAGTACCACCAATGACACAAAGATGCGGTGGGCCATTCTCTGCTGACATCAACTATATCCCACCAAAATGTAAAGATCTGAAAGACAATTTTTTTCCGAGGTTCACCCATCTCAATGAGAAAGATTTGATAGATGGTCAAAGTGGAACTCTTGGAAAAATGGATGAATTTACAGTTGAAATGCATATGAGAGCAATTTTTTACCTGTCAATCTCACTGGCCATCCAGTCTTGAATTACACACCCTTGTCAGGCAACACAGCTAGTGACATCTGATAGGCTCCCTGTACACGGGGCATTTGGAAAACACTTCAGAACGATGGAAACTGACTGCTGGAAAACTAAGGTTAAAAAACGTCTGTTTAGCCGCGTTTGCATACCGCGTTTATGTGCGTTTTTTTTTATACAGATAACATCAGGAGACCTTCTACAATGCCTAGAATGCACTGAAAAACCGTAAAACAAATTAACTATTTCAGGCATTTTGAGAGAAATGGAGAGAATAGAAGCAGAGAGAGCAGTATGTGTGGAGATGACCTGTCTTTTCTAGTTGTATGCACTATGGATCCCATCATGACCATAATGCGACACGTTTTACCATGGTTTCCTTCATGTGAAACCTAGAACTGCGCTGGTGTACCGGGTCCATTTGAATACATGGAAAACGCTTTGCATTTAGACGCGTTTAACTGTTCCATATCCAAATGCTGTCTAGAGCCCTTAACTCATCAGAAATGTATGCAAATGCGGCGGTTAGCTGCATTTACACACATTTGAAACGCTGACAAAATCTACTCCTAAATGCAAGTTTGGTGCGTTCAAAAAAACGACTGTAAACTCAACTGCCTGTAAATGACATAGTGTACATGGACACATAGGAAAACATTAGGGAGAGTTCAGGGGCTGCTGAAAAAAATGCAGAAAAGCTCCTAAATGTGAGTTTATCAGCTGCAGTGTACATGAGCCCTTAGTCACTGCTTACCCCCAGCCTGTGATTGGACAGTGGATGAGAGCAGCAGCACCTTCATGTCTCTGCTCAGCATTGACCTAAATTCACATTGCAGACTCTGAGGCTTATGATCCCTGTACAGCAGAGCTCAAACTGGGAGACTAACCATCAAACACCAAGAGAAATTCATGTACTAATTGCCTTTTACATTGAACTGCTTATTCTCTGAGGTTTTGTTCTACCAAACTATAAACGCTGGTGTCAGAAAATGATAAATACATAGCAGCCGTGCTTATTTAGAGATATGAGATCACTTTCCAGCGGAGGAACTTGATGAAGGTGAGCCAAGTGTGCTATCAGAACGGCTTGTTTCCTGAAGCAGCAGTAGAATGGCACCATTGTGTGGATGTCAGGGCAGGCACAGTACACCGCCAGTGTACACTCTGCTAGTAGCTGCAGTATAAATCCAATACACAAAGCCCTTCTGTATGGAAAGGCCGCACTGCCTACCCTCCGTGTCCTTCACTGATTTCCTTATTGCCGTCTCTAATCTTTTGTGTCGGCCTGTATCTGATGGCAAACTGTCTCCGGTTGTTGTCCTATGTCCTAGAGTTAAGTTCAGGATGAAAAGAACGGCCTTGGGTACTAGATACGGAGTCTCCTAGGATTTCCATGTGTGGATTTACTTCAACGCCTTCTGCCAGCAATCCATTTATGCAAAGGTCCATGCTGGGGATTTGTTCCTTTACATCACCTAGATTGTAAGCTCCCAGGATCAGGGCCCTCAAATCCCTCTTGTACTGAACTGTATTGTTGCTGTATTGTCTCCCTTTATATTGTAAAGCGCTGAGCAAACTGTTGGCGCGATATAAATCCTGTATACTAAATAATCTTGTGCTCAGGAACTACTAGCCAACGTTTCAGCTGGTGGATCAGACATTTATTACCTGTGTCGCTAAAGATGGGGAACCAATCAGAGTGGTTTTTGATCATGCTTTCACTATATGAGATGTGATAGAATGACCATACAGGCTGGAAGGTTTAATGGCAAAAAAAGCCTTTACATTGCAACTAAACACTGCCACCTTTTAGGCTGGAATAGCACCTGCTGAGCCATTTTAATACTGTAATTCTCACATACAACTACAGCATTAAAAAAAAAAATTATAATGAAAACATTTATTTTATACAGCTCCAGCAGTTTGCTCAGTGCTTTGCAACATAAAGTGAGACAATACTCTTATTATAGGTACTTGTATAGTGCCGTGAATTTACGCAGCACTTTACATATATATTGTACATTCACATCAGTCCCTAACCCTCAAGGGGTGTACAATCTAAGGTCCCTAACTCACATTCATACATACACATACTAGGGACAATTTAGACAGGAGCCAATTCACCTACCAGCATGTCTTTGGAGTGTGGGAGGAAACCGGAGTACCCGGAGGAAACCCGCACAGGGAGAACATGCAAACTCCAGGCAGGAGGTGCCGTGGTTGGGATTTGAACCAGTGACCCTAGTACTACAAGGCGGAA